CCAAGGGTTGTGATCCCCTATACGAAAAAAGACAAAAAGGAAAAAAAAAAAAAAAAGAGAGAGCAGGCCTAGGGGGCCAGGCAGGAGTCAAAGGCAGCCCCCACTGCCCAGAAGCAGGCAAGAGAACATGCCCACTGTCCTAGGCAGGAGCCAAGGGCAGTCCCCTCCACCTGGAAGCAGACAAGAGAGAATGCTGAAAATACCACTTCTGAGTGGGTGGTCCACCACAACCACTGCCACAGTCATGGCTGCTGAAAACATGGCTCAACACTACAGCAGTAGCCACAGCCATCGTGCAGGAGGCCCACCAGACACTCAACTGCACTGATACACAGAGAGTCACCAGCAGAGACCAGAAAAAGAAGAGGATGTCTCTCTCCTGAAAGCCCACTCCAAAATAATAGAAGAAGCAACTGCTCTACCAGATGATCAGAAATATAAAAACCCAAGAAAACATGACACCACCAAAAGAATACAATAAAAAAAAATACAATAGTTTTCAAATACCAGACCCTATAGAGTAGGAAACCCTTCAAGTGACTGAAAAGGAATTCCAAGCAACAATCTTAAGGAAACTCACTGAGATACAAGAAGACTCAGTTAGACAACATAATGAAATGAGAAAAAAAAAAACAAAAAAAAAAAAACCCAGGATATGAAGGAGGATATTTACAAAGAGATTAATACCTTAAAAAAGAATGTAGCAGAACTCATGGAACTGGAAGATTCAATCAACAAAATAAAAACCACAACTGATAGCTTAAGCAGCAGGCTAGAACAAGCAGAAGAAAGAATATCTGATCTTGAAGGCAGTCTTTTCAAAATAACCCAGGCAGACAGAAAAAAAAGGAAAAAATAATTCAAAAAAATGAAGAAAACCTAAGAGAACTAGCAGACAACCTTAAGCACACAAACATTTGAATCATGGGTGTTCCAGAAGGAGAGGAGAGAGGAAAAGGCATTGAAAAATTATTCAACAAAATAATAATGGAAAATTTCCCAGGTACAGGGAGAGACATGGACCTTCAGATCCAGGAGGCTCATAGATCTCCAAACAGATTCAACCCAAAAATATCCTCTCTAAGACATATTATAGTCAAACTGGCAAAGCTCAAAGACAAAGAGAGAATCTTAAAAGAAGCAATAAAAAAAGGTCAAGCCACTTATAAGGGAGTCCCTATCAGACTAACAGCAGACTTCTCAACAGAAACTCTCCAGGCCAGAAGAAAATGGGATGATATATTCGAAATACTAAAAGAAATAAAACTGCCAGCCAAGTGTACTATACTCAGCGAGGCTATCCTTCAGAAATGAAGGGAAAATAGTGTATTTTCCAAACAAAAAATGTGGGGAGTTCACCACCACATGACTAGACTTTATAAGAAATCCTCAAGGGAGTCCTGCATCTGGAATGAAAAATATATAATCACTACCAAAAATACACAAGAAAGAACAAAACCCAGTGGTAGAACAAAAACACAAATGAGAAAGAGAAAGAAACTATATCTTAACCACCACAAAAAACCATAACGACAATGTAATAATGTCCCTGCTTTGTTTCTGATTTTAGTAATTTCAGTCTTCTCTCTTTTTTTTTCTTGGTCAGTCTAGATAAAGGTTTGCAAATTTTGGTGATCTTTTTAAAGAATCAACTTTCAGTTTTGTTGATTTTCTCTATTGTTTTTTAATTCACTATTTTAAATATTTCTGTTGTGATTTTTGTTATTTCCTACTTACATTTGCTTTTGGTTTAGTTTTATTTTCTTTTTCTATTTTCTTAAGGTAGAAGTTTACATTACTGATTTGAGATTTTTCTTATTTTTAATGTAGATGTTTACAAGTATAAATTTTCCTCTAAGTACTGCATGAGACCTACACCCTATAAATTCTGAGATGTTGCACTTTGATCTTTATCTCAAAGTACTCTCTAATTTCCCTGTGATTTCTCTTTCTACCCATTGTTTATTTAGGAGAGTGTTGTTTCTGAGATCAAACAAGATCGGGCACATTCAGGCTGGTATGACTGTAGACAGAAGAGTGTTGTTTAACGTCTATACTTTTGTGAATTTTCTAAATTTCCCTCTGTGATTAGTCAGAGAACTTATTTTCTATGATCTTAGTCTTTTTAAATGTATTAAGACTTGTTCTGTGGGTAATAAATAAATAAATAAAACACCATTACAACAGCAGCAAAAATCATTAATGTCTAAGAATAAATCTAAGGAAAGACTTGTAAGATTTCTACAATGAAAATACAAAATATGCTGAGAGAAAACAAAGATGAACTAAATGAATGGAGACATAGCATGTCAAAAAAAATTCAGTGAGTAGATACTGTTATAATAACTTAAATATATGACAAAAACAAAACATCTATACATGAAGAGCACTAAAAATATTCATTGGCTGACTGTAATTCTAGCCAGGGTACAGGAAGGAATCAAATCCACAAGAAGACTGGCTATTGCTCCAGATTAATAACTTAAAGATAGCCTAAGTTTTCAACTCCAAATCCTTTTAAAATTAAAAAGGGATACAATTCAAGTGAAATTTTAACTAGAAATAAAATGTACTTTCTATTATTTAGTAATCATAAGATGATTTTTTAAAGAAATTTAAATTGTTTTTGTTTATGTAAAAAGCATTTATGTGTCACCAAAGAATTTATCATTATATTTGTATACCATACCTTATGCGCTTTAGGTAGAAGTGAACCTGGTGGTTTTTTCCTGAGTACATATGCTTGAATGCCCTTTTGGAGATAAAAGGTTGGATTGGACTGTCCGAATCTAGATAAAAGTAAAGAAAAGGTTTATTATATAGATTATCTTTTCCTTCTTCTCCAAATCCTACTGAAATGTTAGAAGAAACAGGAAATGAAAATAAATCCATCTCAATGCTGGAAAGCCAAGTGGGATGTAACCAGCAGCTCACAACATGAGCTTCTGGAGGTTATTAAAGCAGATGGCAACTGGCAGCTGGAGAATCAATAACCTACACAGGTAGAAAAGAAGACCCTACCCCCTGTCTACACATCATGAGTTTTACCAGAAATACCTCTAGAAAAAATGCCTTGATCTAAGAGAGAAGATACTGTAAGTGATCAGTCACAAAATGAATTAAAGGATGCTGGAATAGCTGGGTTAGTGCCCCCTCATCTGCCCTTGGAGAGATAACCCCCATAATGCGTCACAGGGGCCAGCACCTGAGTACAGCTCTCTACTACGGGAGCTCTAATCAGCGAGGTCCCAGACTGGGCATCTGGGCCAGGTAAGTGCAACTGCCCCAGGTAACTTAACAGACAGACACCAGGGCACTGGCTTCCCTGCCAGGTGAACAGAAATTCTCACATGGACTAAGGATATACACTCCAGCTACCAAAACTATTCAATCTATACCTTTACTTATAATATGGACAGTTAAGAATCACCCAGCTTTTGAAAAATGCAACAGTATAAAACAGAGACCCTAAACTAAATAAACAGAAGAATCAATCCCTAAGATAATAGGTAATAGGGAAAGTAGGGAAAAAGATCTTTGAAGTTTCTTCCCAGGACTCCATCTTTCATGAGGAAAGAACAAGAGCAAACCCAGATTGAATGTAGCAGCAGCTCCAGTGTCTGTGTCTTTCTCCTACAAGCCGGACCCATCCTCCTCAGCAATCACATCAAAGAGCACTGATCTTGGCACCATCTAATTCTGTACAAAAGTGGAGATAATTGCCAGTGGTCAGAAAATGGGACCACCTCAAGCCATGCTGTCTTTATTGACATAAGACAATTGATCTGTGATCCTGCAAAGACTCAAGTTGCAACGAACCTTTAAAACATTATTTTAAAATGTGAAATGTCTGATTACACGCATTTTTCATGAGGCAGTTCTAAACTCATATATGAAGCACTGATCTCTCATGATGGCAAATGACCCAGATGAAATATAAAGGGAAAACTAAAAGCTTCTTGTTGAAGACAGAGTTACCACGTGACTAAGCAAGTCTGTTCCTACATATATGCAAGATAATTGAAAACATAGTGTTCACATAAAAACTTGTACATAAATGCTCACAGCAGCACTATTGACAATAGCCAAATACTGGAAACAACCCAAATGTCAGCAGATGAATGATAAACATCAGCAGATGAATGGATAAACAAAAGTGGTAGATCATACAATAGAATATTACTCAGCCATAAAAGGAATGAAATGTCAATACATGCTATGACACAGATGAACCTTGAAAACATTATTCTAAGTGAAAGAAGCCAGTCAAAAAGACGACATATTATGTGATTACATTTCTATGAAATATCTAGAATAGGAGAATCCATGGTGATGTAAACGTGGTAGATCATACAATAGAATATTACTCAGCCATAAAAGGAATGAAATGTCGATACATGCTATGACACAGATGAACCTTGAAAACATTATTCTAAGTGAAAGAAGCCAGTCAAAAAGACTACATATTATGTGATTACATTTCTATGAAATATCTAGAATAGGAGAATCCATGGTGATGTAAAGTAAATTAGTGGCTGCTACGGTATAGGGGGAGAAAGGAATTGGGAGGAATGGGTTTCTTCTTGGGGAGCTGGAGATGTTTTGAAATTAGACCATGGTAATTGTACAACATTGTGAATATACTAAAAACAACTGGATTGTACATTTTTAGATTATTAAAATTGTGAATTTTATGTTATGTGAATTTTATCTCAAAAACAAAAAAAGCTAAAAGCTTCCCTTCTGAGGAAATATCTACCCCGTGGTTCTAACAAAGACAAAAGCAAAAAACAAAACAAAACAAAAAACAACTACATAAGCTCACCTGCATGGGAAGATCATCACCAATGCTGTCAACATAGTACTGGATAAATTTAACCACTCCAAGCATCAGCCCTCCAAATACTCTGGAACCATTGATGGTCTCAATATAAGAATCATCAATGAGCCAATGGTCAAAATTGTTGCTTAGGACTTGGACAAGACATTTGGTGCTGAAAGAGATGTGCTGATCTATAACCTAAGAGGTCGTACTTTTGATTTGCCCCACCTTTGCTAACAAAGATGGAATGTTCGCATTTAAGGGACACTCATTTGGTTGGAAAAGACTTTGACTAGACAGTCAATCTCACAAGACCCTAACAGGACACTTAGCATTAGTCCACTTAGAGCATACTAACAAAACACAGTATGCAGCTGAGCAGCATCAGATGAGTTTCTTCAGCAGAGTCCTCACAGTAGTCCATGTAGCAGTCTAAGGTCTACTCTATGCCTCCTGTCCCCCCTTAGTGACAGCTCAGGTATGAAGGAATGAGACAAGGCAACAAGTGAATATGGATGTCACGCTGGCTTAGAAGCCTGTGTTAGTCCATTTGGGCTGCTACAACAAAATATCATAGACTGGATAGCTTATAAACAATAGAAATTTATTTCTCACAGTTCTGGAGCCTGAGAAGTCCAAGATCAAGGAGCCAGCAGATCTGGTGTCTGGTGAGGGTTCACTTTCTTATAAGATGGTGCTTTCTTGCTCTTTCTTCATGTGGTAGAAGGGCCAAGGCAATTCTCTGGTGCTTCTTTTATAGCACTAATCCCATTCATGAGGGCTATGCCCTCATGATCTAATCATCTCCCCTAAGGCATCTACCTCTTAATATCATCACCTTGGGGGTAAGGATTTCAACATATGAATTTTGGGGGGACATAAACATTCAGACCACAGCAAAGTCTCATATTCCACAGGAACTATTATCTCTAGTAGCAGTCCTCTGGGCAAAGCTTCCAAGGCCCTAGCAAGGGACATGACCATGGCGAAAACTCACTAAGGGAAGCCCAAAGCTATGACTTCTCACCAGACACGTATAGCTCATTTACAGACATTCCAATTCTGATGCAGTTTAACAATTAGATGTTACTTTTACCATAAATAATATTGCGTAGAAACAAGCTGTACACCACCTTTACCAATTTTCCAGAGGAAAAGAGCTAGAAAGTTAACTAAATTTGTCCATAGAGAAGGAAAAAAGGTTTTTTTTTTTTTTTTTAAACCCTTTATTCGTATCATGGTGGATAAGTCTTAGACTCACGGCATCATCATCCTAGTGTGTGGTTCCAACTGCATCTCCAAACTTCAGAAACGTAGAAATCCCTACAGGACTTTTTCAACAGAAAGGAATTGAAAAAAAAGCATCAACCCTGATCTGGATGTCAGTATGTTTACACTTATCTAGGCAGCCACTTTGTCCCTTGTTCGGAAATAACTTTGAAGATATTCAGATGTGCTTCTCTTTAGTATCACTCCTTTTCCTTTGGAATTGAAACCTATGGCAGAGTCATAACTATTCTGATCAAGTGCAATACAACTGTTCATACCAAACAGTCTCAGACTGTCACCATCTACTCTGACACCGAGTTTGGTTTGCTCATTCTGGTTTATGAAATCAATTTACAGTCATGAAGGATAACAACCAGATTGGGAAATTTGAAATCACAGGCATACTTCCTGCACCCTTAGGATTTCCAAAGATTGAAGTAACTTTTGATATTGATGCCAATAGCATCTCTAATGTGTCTGCAGTAGATAACAGATTAAGAAAAGAGAAGATTAAAAGACCAATGCACAGTGTTTGAACATGGAAAACACTGAGCATATGTTCCAAGAGGCTTAAAAGTATGAAGTTGAAGATGAGAGCAAAGACATGAAATATAACCTAAGAAATTGCTCAGATGCTATGTATTCAATAGGCCACAGTGCAAGATGAGAAATTTCAAAGAAGAATCAAAGATGAAGTCAAACAGAAGATTCTTGACAACTGCAATGGAATCATCAAATGGCTGGTCAAGAATCAGATTACTGAGAAGGAAGAATTTAACATTAGCAGAAAGAACTGGAGAGGGTCCAAAATCCCATCATTATCACAATGTACCAGACAGCAAGCACCATGCTAGGTTCTTTACTAGGGGCTCCCCTGGGAGTGGTTGCTCATCTCTCTGGAGGTGCCTCTTTGGGAACTGTAGCAACAGAAACAGACTAAGCCAACCAAAACACAACATGACGCTTGAACATGAACACAGTCATGATATTTGAACGACCCTGATTTGTAGGAAGTCAGCTCAGTGGCAGCTTTTTAAAAATCATATTTGAGCTGCTATTTAACATATTTTGAGCTGCTACTTAACATATTACCAGATATTTTGAAAACCTGAATACACACAGAGAAAGAGAATACACCTGTACTTTACACATATAGTAAATAAGTGGAAAGTACAAATCACGTTAGAGAACAAAGCATTTTTAAATTGCATCATTTGAAAAAAAAAAAAAAAAAAGTAAGCTCAGAGCGTTTACTCTAAGACTGCCCCTTCTAGGTCCCAAATACCTATCCCTTCCCATTTCTATCACTCATAGCACTGTGCTGCTTTAAGACTAGCAGAATTGGTCTCATTGTGTTCTTTATTTCTGTTTATATCATCAAAAATTTGGGAAGTCTCAAATTCTTTTTTTTTTTTTTAAGAGGACCAGTAAGGGGATCTTAACCCTTGACTTGGTGTTGTCATCACCACGCTCAGCCAGTGAGCAAACCGGCCATCCCTATATGGGATCCGAACCCGGGGCCTTGGTGTTATCAGCACCGCACTCTACCGAGTGAGCCACGGGCCGGCCCTGGGAAGTCTCAAATTCTCATTACCACTTGTCTACTGCCTTATAATTCCCACCCCTCCCCAACTGAC